GAGCACAAGAAAAAAGGAAACTAACTCCTTTTGGTGTTTCATGTGGGGGGGGGGGTTCGGCAATAAAAGGGGGGGGGGGGGGGGGGGTAAATTATGGAACAAATCATGTCGGCACCCAAGACCATGCCTACAATAATACATGACCAGGAAACAGTACGAAGTATCTCTCACAGCAGCAATAAGCAAAAATAATGACAACGGCCGTTTACCACTCGCCGCGCTCGGCCGCACCACGCCGTTGAAGGCGTCAGCGGATGGTTGCCGTGGGAAAAACAATTGCAAGACCTTAGCTAGACTAAAACTCAATAGCTAGACAAAATAACAAGCAAAACGGCGCTTGCTATCGCTTCTCCACCGCCAGCGGTGAAACTTTGCCATTTTCTACTCGGACATGAGCGTACCAATGACTCACGATGGGTAAAGTCTTGACTGAGTAGAAGCGACCCATCGCTGCGAATAAAAAAAAGAAAATAAAAACAAGAAATCTATTTTCCCTGCCTCCAAAGAGCAATGGCGAAGGGGGTAGCGGAAACAAACCAGAGCGCAACAACTGGTCACGTCGTGACTAGGCAAAAACCACCCGTAAGGTCAGGATGCGAATAAAAGGAATCTATTTTCCCTGCCTCCAAAGAGCAGGGACGAAGGGGGTATAGCGGAAACAAACCAGAACGCTCTTATTGCGAAGAGAGCACCAACAGCAACACACCAAACATAGTAAAGCAAAAAAGGTTCAAATCTATGTGTCACTCTTCACTTTCTCAAGGAGAATATTGTACAACAGAACCACCCAGTGGTCGATAGGCCCAGGCAAGCAGTAGTGCAGGCCATCTGTTGCCGAGGCGTGGGAGTCTGCCCTCAGGATTGTCGGCGAGTAGGCATCCAGCAGTGTCCAGCCATGCGTGGCCTCGAAAGCTTCCTCCAGGAGCTTTGGTTTCAACATAGAGACGGTACATCCAAGAGCGGGCGCACACGCAACCGTTAAGAGCACGATCTACACTACACTGTATTGTGCAAGAAATAATGAGGTTGAGCCTTTCACCCGAAGGGGAGAGTGAGATGCCATGTTGTTCGCGGAAAAAAACATTCCCAACCATCGTATCAGAAAACCAGAGCCAAATTTAATTCGGCTACACAAACTGCAAGATAATAATTATGATTTCCGGGAAAGTGCAGACAATATGGTAGAAACAGCAGTGGACTATATAGCGGTCACCATCATGAAGTCAACTCTTGGTTGCCTCTATTAATAATCCATCGATAGAGTTGTGTCTTTCTCGTAACACAGCAGTGTAGATAAAAAAAAAAAACACAAACACACACACATACACTAGTTGCGTACAAAACTGAAGTAGTGTATATCCTGAGACATGACCCTCAAGTTCGAGTTCCTCCGCGGCCCTCCTGTCGGGGGATCCGCGGATTAAAAAAAAAGGAAGCGAAATCGTGAGTTTTCGCCCCGCTACAGCGAGAGCGGTGGCTTGTCGTTGGTGAGCCGGATAGTGTGGCCGATGTTAACAGAAGAGACACACACAAGCACATAGAGAACAAGAAAAAAACGAACCAACACTCACGGGCCGCAAGCATTGTAAAAGAGAGGCAATGTGCTCAACGGGCCAAGAGGGACGCACGGGCAGCGGCTTCGGAGCAAACGTGTAAATGCGAACAGACATATACATATATATATATATGGTACCCGTAAGGATTCTTCGAGGGCGCCCATTGCCTGCCGAGAAACGAAGAAGAGCGGCAGAACGACAACCAATCATAACCATCCCACAAGGCTTCGCGTAAGTCTAGAGACGGCACATGGTTTGCAGGAGGATGAGGGTGAAATAGTTGGCGAGAACACTCCCAATCTTTAACCTTGACTCGCACCCTCGAAAGTCTGGTTGTTCAACGTTCTGGGCGAAAAAACAGCAAAAACCGACTACAACATTACTGCTGCCGTGTACTCCGCTGATAAGAAAATCACACAGGAGGTGAGGACGAGCCTATCGCAGCGTACACACGGCGCGGTTTCTTGGGGCTCCCTCCCGCAACAAGCAAGATCGACTCTGAGGCCTCTCCCCAACCCTTGCTAACCTTCACACACGACGATGTCGCCAAAAGAAAGTAAAAAAACGAGGAGTCTTACCGTGTTCTTATCTAATATCGTCGTCCACTCGAACTCCGGAGGGCCTTTCTCGACGAGGTCGAGGGCCGTGTCTAAATTAACAGGCCCGGTGAACATCCTGTAACGTAAAGTGGCACACAAACATAAAAACGTTGTCGAAACTCAAGCTTTTCGGGCACGACACAAACCACCTCCTCATATTCGGCAGTGGAGCAAAGTGTAGATACGAATCGGTGGGGGAGGGAACAATTGCCGAGACCGAAAAAAGACAGATGTCAATAAAAAACTGGGCTGCCAAAGAAAAGAAATCGGATAAACCGCGTGCGGTAGCATTGCTCTGCTCGGGCTCGGAAGGACTGCTTGTTTTGTTTTGCGGGGTGGAGAGATGTGGAGCAAAAGAAAAACACTACAACTTCTGCACACCACATGTCGCCGGAGGTGAACAACGCCGGAGATGCCACAAGAATGATGGCAGGTTACAAGGCACAGCAATGGCGGGGCGGTGCAGCAGGGTTGATCCGTTTCCGGTGTGCGTGTGCAGGCGGATACAAGCGACGACGAACGACAGCACGTGCATGCCTGTTTTGTGCCAAAACAAATAATCTCCCGCGTTCAGGTCTGCACCTGTTGAGTTATCACCGCGCGATGCACATATCGACACTCGATGCGGGACGAGCCAGATATAAACGATTGTGCAGAAAAACTTCCAGGCGACCTATCCCGCGCGTAAGACCTCGAACAATAAATATCCACGGCGTAGGTTCGCATGCCTCCCAAAGCCATCACGTATGAAACTGAAATTGTTTTTCAGCCGCCGCGGTAGACTATCGCCAACATCCCCTTCTTGAAACGTCTCCCACCTATCGAAGCTCTCGCCGTGACCCGGGACGGTGTTCCTGACCACCAAGATGGCGTTATCCCCGTGTAACCGTCTCATCGACGCGGTCAGGCTCTCGCCAGCGGTCTTTATCATCGACCCGTACGCCTCCACCCCCCCCAATTGACGGTGTGCCCCAGCGTTGACGAGGAGGGTGTCATACTGGCTCAAGGTAGCATCATCTGCGAGAATGGAAAGCAGTCTTCACGTTACCTCGTTATCAGGATCGATTCCGAGCTGGCTCAGGGCAGAATCATCTGCGAGAATAAAAAAAATCACGCTGCCATGTCGTTCGGCACCGACATAGCGCAGACGACAACGCGGAACGCTGTTGTTGCACCATCATCGGTCTAGCTGCAACAATATCACCGACAACGCAGAGCCACGGCTTCCGAACGACAACACTACCAGCACACCAACAGGCGAGGCGAAGAGTTTCTCCAATGAGACAAGGCACGCTAGAGGTTCCCAACCGCAAGATGTGCTGCGCAAACATGCCTGATGTGGATCGAGTCCGTGACAGCCGATTTTCGACCCCCTTACGTCGGAGCCCTCTCTTAAAAGGTACCCGTCTTTTACATCGGAGCCACGACTGACGGTACATGCCTGCAAAGACCATGCACTGCGAGATGCTTATGTCGGGCTCCTCGCACCGCGGCGTGTCGAAGCCGTCCAATCGCGTGTCGAGGAAGTCGTTGCGGTACCACGACAGCGTCAGCTCTCCGTCGCAGGCTGTGTACGTGTCCATCTTCAGGTGAACGTGCTTGACGCGCGTCGCGCGCAAGACCGCCCTTAGAGTATCGATCATCTCACCCGTCAGGCTGTCCCCTAGGTGTGTGTGGGGGGGAAATGGGGGGGGGGGGGGAGACGAGGTGTTGTTGTTGGAGTGTCGTCGGTACCTATCAAGGCCTGCCTGCACCTTGAGTTCTTTGTACGGGGCAAGAGAACGATAGGTGGTGGGTTTGCAGATTCCACCGACCATTCTGTCAGATGTTGTGGTTTCCTTGCACGTGGAACCAAGGCAACGCCAAAAATTATCTTACAATAGCCTTTGCGAGAGGAGGAAACGCGGACTTTTCTCCATCAAACGGTGTTCAGGTGAGATATTTCCCGCCTTCCTTGCTCGTCTCGTCCCCCCCCGCCCGCCTCCGCCTGGGCGAGGGGTGCACCCCTAACCCCCTCCGCCATTTCCGCGACTCATATCTTCTGAGCGGGCATAGGCACAACAGGACCGTGCACCAGCGACAGTGCTACTTCGGGGGTGGCCCTTGACGTAGCCATGTGGCTCTCACCTGCGAACAGCAAACCCTTCCTCCCCTTCATAACGCGGCAGAACTTGGCTTCGTCCACCTCCTCCAGCCGGCACGCCGAAGGCTCCCACTTCCAGTACGGCATGGGGGGGACGGGCTCTTCGCCCTCATGCTCTGCTGACCATCTTTTGCCACACCTGTAGCGAGCGCGCGGCGTTTCAGACAGAACAATGGACGCAACAATAAACACAAACGCCTCCCGTGTTGTGCGTACTTGTGTCTTATGACTGCGCTCTTCACTGCCGTAACCCACAATCTAGTCGAACCACCCAGACGACGGAGAGATTTCTTCTTACGAATTCCTCATTTTCTCGACGATTTTGAGCTGGCCGGTCCAGGCTTGTTGATATAAAAAGCGTTTACGACCGTTCAATTTTCGCGACAACAGAAAATGCACGCTTCTCGTGCAACACACAACTGTAGGGACGACTGCGGCGGGTTGCAGCTTGCGTCGGGCATACGTACGGGTTGAACACACCTTTGTAGTAGCGGACGGGTGGACGAACTAATAGAGACGTACTCACGTGGGCTTACGATTCACCACAGGGCTAACTAGACAAAAAAAAAAGCTCCTGAGGCTACAAAAACGACACCTCCAGTGGGGTGGTCTTTACACCCGTTGTTGCATTCGGCGGCTATTCGACGCGCAGCTGGTATGCCCTACGGCCATTACGCACGGGATGCGAAAGCCACCATCATACCCTTTCGCAGTTCGACCGGTAATAAATGGGCCGCTCCCCGTGTTCGTCGGCGACGCGTCCATGCCTCCCGCGCACTCGTTCCATCTCCCTTGGGAAGGATCAGCGGACGTGCTCGAGTAGCACGGCGGCAAGCCGAGGTCGGTTTCGACGTTCGCGCAGTCGACGACAAGGGCTGGATACCTTTCCTCCCCAACGACGACAAGCGGTGGTGGATCCTTTCCATCCCCTGCCCCCCCCGGGCGCGACCAACAAGAGGCAGGCGTGTGTTTGGTTGTCAATGGTGAGCGGGTTGGGTTTGAACGCGCTCTTGCGGCTGCTGCACAAAGAGCGTGTGTTGTCTTAGGAAAATACAAACACAGAAAAGACTACGGAGTCTTTGCAGTGAGTGGAGGGAAACCGGCCGGGTACTGGCCTCACTTCGTATTTCGAGTCTGTTTTAAACCTTTACACTGCTGATGATGTCACCAGTGATAACCAGCTGGTGCGAAGCACCAAAACAAACACTGCTGTGTTTTCGTAGTTTTCTATGTACAAATGTCTTCCGTACTGCTGTGGGTCCACGCGGTCTTACGAAAACTAAAGACAAACAAGAGACTTGTCGCATCGGGATTGTATTTTAGTAGGAAAAAAAAATTGTAACTGCTATTGGATAGGCATAGTGTACAGCAGTAGGAGAGCATGACTACAGCAGCACTACTGGCCGTAGGGCGTCGACGACAGATGGTCATGGAGGCCGCTGTAGTTTGGAACGATCTCCTCGTAGAAACTTGAGGAAATCGCCCGCTGGTTACTTGTTTGTTTCCAACCTGTTCCCATTTCCGTGATACAGCTGCGTGGACATGCATACCCTGCGACGACGACAACAACCCGCATAGCGTACAACGCTTTCGGTGGGTGTCTGGCAGGCTCGCAGACAACACGTACACAAGTAACGATTTTCATGAAAAAGCTGAATAAACGGTTGTCTCGAGACAACCACGAAAAAGTTCTTCAAACTGCATACTTACTGCTGCTGTGGATTGATGCTTGACACGGCTGTGTGTGTGGCTGTGCAACTCATCTCCAGATCAGAACAAATCAGAACAACAAGTTGTTCTCCAGAACAGCAGCTCTTTTCTCACACTGACGTGTGATGTATACAACTGCTGCTGCTATGCTACTGTTGTGCAACCACTGTTGTGGAGATATCCATTGCGATTTCCATTTTTGGCGGACGCTCTAGGGGCCTCCTGGCTATAACGACGGTGCCTCGAGTGGCAGACTTGTCGCAACGCAACGCCCCTTCGGCTGCTCCACAGCATTAAAGGCGCACAGCATTAGTCTAGACTACAGCAGTAGTTCTTGGGGTCGTTGCGGCTCCGTCTATTCATTGCACATGTCCGGGCAGGCTTCGCAACAGCCCTCCGTAGGTAAACTTATGGCACATTCCCCATACTGAGAACAATCGCGAGGCGTGCGCATCCTCGTGCTCTGCGGAAGGGGTTACAGCAGTAGTGCGAGCAAGCCCTAGACGTCTATCCTCTGCTCTGCCCGCGGTCAGGCGGCTAAAATGCGTGCCACTATGCTTTCGAAGTGTTGACGCTGCAGAACACCGCCGTATCATGCGTATGTCTGTACATTTCTCTGCAAACACTTGGTGTAGTGCTTATCCTTACCTCCGGGACACCGGCCCTTCAGCAGGGCGTCCATCCCGATCAACAGCACTCCCACCACACCAGCCAGCCAGAGCAGTCTCCGGCATCCCAGCAGCCGCTCTCTCAATGCCGTTGACGCCCCCGTTGATGATGTGGCGAAGGATTGTTCCGCCTCTCTTTGATCCGGGTGTCCTTCTGCGGCGTGTCTCAGTTCAAGACCCCCCTGCCCTTCTTCAGCCATCTCCTCCTTCCTAGCAAGGGCAGGAGAGTAGAGGGGTGTGCACGGGGCGTGGGCAGAAGCATAATGCACACCGGTGGGGCGAAAGCGGAGGGTTTCCCGACCGAGAGAGGAACTTACTTGTATACGACAAGCAGCACTGCTACTCTGTGTTGGACGCTGCATGTAGCAGAACTTGTAGTCTAGGTGTCCCTCTGAGGTTCGGCCTCTCACGACCGCGCGCCCTCGTGCGCATCTGCCCAGCTCTGACAGCAGCCGCACATCATTGCAGCTGGGGCGGGGTGTCACAAGAGCAAAGACGTGAGGTGATATGTACGTACATGCTCTTTTTTCAACAGCAGCGGCAGTCCGCGAACAAAAGAAACCAGAAACGACCACGAACCTGCTAGTGGGGCGAGAGAAGTAAGGGAATGAGGAGTGCGGAGCCTTTACTCTCTGGGAATGGCAGTACTAGAGCCTCTTGCTGTCCTCATGTGGTGGTTTGATCGACCACAAGGGCAGGCGAAGATCCTCCTCTCGAGGAGTGTGAAGATGAATTGCCGAGCCGTGGCTGGCTGGCTGGCTGAGTGCTGATGAGGAGAGTGTCCGGGACACTCATCCAGATCCAGACTTCCGTAAACACGAGACGCGGGAAACCAACAAGATGCAGAAAGTTGCTCAAGAGAAGAAACACCTCGGAATTAAAAAAATAGTTCTCGTCATGAGGAAAAAGATACCGTGCGTAAGGATGCGGCGAACACCGAACACACCCACCACGCACCCACAGCCACGTACTGGTGACGGCGGTTCGGCGATATCGGACACACCGGTGATGGTATCGCACCGGCCGTGCGATAAAAAACACTAGAACGAAAAATGTTTTGATTCGGGTATCGCACGGCGGGGATCGGGGTGGATGTCAGCGGATGTGGTTCCGAGACACTCATCATTATCATCTAGAGTGGAGGCCGACCCCCCTTCCCCAAAATATCGGATGCCCTCGCCCCCCTGTGGAGACCTTGACAAGGTTGAACACGTTGGAGAAGGCAACCAAGGCCTCGAAAACACGTTCGACCTTGTCAAGGTCTCCACAAGGGGGCGAGGGCATCTGATATTTTGGGGAAGGGGGGTCGACCTCCATCCACCTGTTACCGCTGTATCTTCAGCTGCGTTGGTTGCGGATCCAAGTGTCTCCTGTATGGTCTACATATCCACCACCTGATCTCGACATCTCGACGTTCATCGGTGGAACGAGACGGAAAGTGGGTCTCCCAATCTTCATTCGGGGCGATACTATGCATATGTCAAAGCATCGGGACAACGGGACGTTCGGTTCCCAACATGGGATGAAGAACGGATGATCTGAGAACAGCAGTAATTTCCCGCCTTTGGGATGGACACCCGGAAATGGGAAACATATGAATCCAATGTGTTCGGGCTTTCCCCATGCCTTCAGATTTGTACGCTGCCCTTTGGTTTCTTCGGGAAGTCCATGGACTATTTACTTGTTTCCGTAGGAAGGAACAACTGAGAACTTTGAGCATGAATTAGCATTGCTGTGTTTCTAGAGCAGCTTGTGTCGCCGTCACCTCAGAGATTAACGTCCGTGCTCTATTTCCCTGGCGCGGATACATACACGGTCCCGCGCGCTTGCACCACGCACAATACTAGTTGCGAACCCACAACCTGCTAGTATTCAAGTTACGAAGAACCCTCCACAAGCCACTGGGGCGGCCGGCTATCCTACGGATATAAATGAATTCGTGTTGATTTCTCCCACAGAGGAAACAGGAACAAACTGGCAGATGGGTGGGCGGTTCTTCATGTCCCTACTAAATTACGTTTAATACTCATCATTTGAGAGAACAAAAGTAATCGATACACCGTTACCATTAGACTTTTTAATTGTCGAACCTCCGTCGCTCGTTCGTTTCTACTAAAAAACACAAACCACCAAACCAACCAACAACGGGAACAACGAAGACATCCAAGAAAACGATGGAAACAACCAAGGAAAAACGACGAAAAACAACCAGATCACGCGAACCTACCGTACCGAGGTGTATACAGTTGTTGGACGCTCTGAACTTTGCTACTTCGGTTTTTCGAACCTTTCGGCAACAACACGATCTCATCTGCAAGACGCACTTTTCGCCGCCAAACCAGCGACAAGCACGCCACCAACACACTCATGAACCATAATGTACGCATATATGAAAAAGGCGTCATTGCAAGCAATTGTGTTTACTGCTACCACACCCGGGGTCCCGCGACTTCCAATAACACCGCCCCCACAACCGATCATCTCCGAGATCGCTCCCCGTGGGACTCGTGGTCGGTGTACGGGGAAGGGTCCGTCTGCTGCTGCTGCTGCTGCACTTACATGAAATTTGCCCCTGGTTCGTCACCATACACCCTCCGGCATACCCTAGGGACATCGTCTGCCTGCAACCACGTCTGACCCCCTTCGTTATTCTCGGGAGACAAATACAACTCTCCCCTCCCCCGCTTTCTGTCAGTATTGGGTCGTTTCTTAGTCTTAGTCTCCCCATCGCCCCTTTTCGTCACCTTGTCTTACCCCCCGCCTTCCGGTGAAAAGAGTCCTCCAAGCCTGCCCTGCCCAGAAGCGATAACACACAACGCCGACAAGAAAAACAAGAAACAACCCCCCACAAGACACACACCCTTAGCGGGATGCAGCGCACCCTCCATGCGACTCGCCGAATACCTCATGCCGCTTCGCACTTGGTGATGTGAGAGCCTGGTCCGGTGAGAACCCAGCGTGGTCCATCCCGGCTTTGTAGGGGTGCGAAGTCAATGGTCTAACGACCACGGCATGCACGACTATGAGTACAAGCCCCGATAATACACAAGCCAGCAAACCAACACCACGACAGGGGGACCTACCGCACATGGGCTTCCTACCGCCGTAGACGAGCAGAAGAAAACAAACTCGCGAAACGTTTGGGCAACCCCCCCCGCCAGGAGTCGCGTTGGAAACAACAGTCCGCGCAAAAGAGAGGACAAATCCAGATGACAACTATTCCCGCCCGTACCCTACCCACCTCTCTATTACACCCTGAACACCCTGGCCAAGTAACCCACACCCAAACCGCGGAGCCTTGCTAAAAGTAAGCGCACGCGACCACGGGTGGTATGAGATACGTCGAATACCAGGAAAAAAACTAACCCCCCTCTGTCTGCAATGCACGTCCGGCCTTGTATCATACATCCCCCACTATTCTCCCATTATCAGACCCCCATTCGCCCAAAAACTAGCCTCCCGAAACACACATCGCGTGAAATACACAAGCCACAAGGGCAGAGGGCAGAGAAAGACGACACGCCAGCCCCGGGGGGGCTGCCCGACAAATCATCGGGCGCGAGATCGGCTCCGCCCCCGCGAGCTCCCGCCACCGCCGCTGCTGCGCCTCGAGCGGGGGTGGCGGCGCTGCATGTCCTTGCCGGCCGCGTCCGCGATCACGCCCGACGATAGCGAGGACATCGAAATCAGAGCCTGTAGTTTTGGTCGACAAACGAAGAGGACGACGCGTTTTCGAGGGCCAGGCAAGAGGTGGGGGCAGCGGCGTTGAAACGCCAAGCGAGGGAACAACGCAAGCCAGGGAATGCGTCGCAAACAACGCTGCTGCCTTGTGGAGCCCGGGGGCATAGCGTCAAGACTGGCGTTCAGGAAGAACGGGCAGAGGAAACCGCGTGAAACATTGCACTCGCACGGGAAAAACACCGGGGGCGGATATTGAACCAACATTGAAGAAGAAACAGTCGATTGGTTGAAGAATGGCAGTAGGGGCTACAGATACGGGGTCGTGCATTGCGGCAAGGCGGGCCAAGGTACTCCATCGTTGCTTTGCCTTGTCCGAAAATCAGCTTCCGCGCGATGGAAGTGTTGGGGCCCAGCTCCAATGCTTGGGGCCGTCCTTTCCCTTCACGTATTGGCGGGTCGTTGGTTCTAGGAACTGCTGCAGCTTCTTCGCGAGTATTAGGACTTGCTTCGATCTCCTTTCGCCTCCAAGTTGTGTTTCGGGTTATGGTCTGTGACAACACGGATATTCCTTTCTTTGCCTACACAGAGTAGGGAAGGTGGTGTGCTGGATGTGGGCTAGAGCGAAGGTTATGGTGAAAAACAGAAAGAATAACAACGAAAACAACCCAACTATGGAAGCCCTCTACTCTGGCTGAGCAGAGAGTCCGGGAGTGTGGTGGCTATGTCCTGCCACCGGAGGTTGGCTATTTCCTTTCGTGCAATGTGGCGAGGAATGCCAAGCGTGACCGAGCGAACTCAGTCAAGCTAGGGTGGCAAGGAGAGTGGGCGAGCCTTCGTGGACCCTTTTCCCATTCTCCTAAAGATTCATCAACTCTTCGCAGCCGATGGGAATCGTAAGAGTCATAGACCCTCGAAGAACGGTAATCTATTATCACATATCCTCTCAGATCCTACTCTTTATGTACGTGTATCTGTGCTCCCTGAATCTCCATATCCTGACCACCTCCACACAACAACCATTTCCTTACTTGAATGCAACTCAGTAGCTGCCGGGCGGCACAGCAGACCATCAGCGTCATCCACACCGCTTTCCACGCCGTAGAAAACGGCGACCCGTCCCCGTCATCTTCCGCCTCTCGAACCCCTAGGTCTTCCCCCAATCCCAGCGCGGCGGAGTCGATCCTGATTTGTGTTAGTGCACGCGTTTTTTGTTACGGGGCCGAACGATTCACAAAACTCGAATATATTTAGAAGAACATGACCCGCACGTCCGCCGGGTCTTGATTCTCAAAAAAAAGACCCAAGGAAGGCATTTCTGAAACCTGCCAACTAGATCCGAACGGCGGTTTTGATGCCAAGACAGCAGCAGCAGTAGCATTAACAGCAACAACAACAACCAGACGCAAGTATTGGATTATCCTTCACGGTATCGACCTACCACCCGCGTCTTGCAGCAGCACAAAAACGCGATGTTTACAGCTGTCTCGAGCGTACGCGCGCATGCGTTGATACGCTGTTCATTTTTTGGGTTCGAGATAATGCCTTCATGGTGCAAGCGCTCGCCCCAAATCAAGATATGTCCCGCCGAACCTTCTGTTTTGCTTCTCCTGGGCAAGGCTTTGTCCCACAGGCAAGCTGCAGTGACGACATCGGTGTGAGCAGCTGCCGGTGGAACAGGGCATCTGTTCACGACGTCATCGCTACCACCCCGGTACCCTCGAAAGCTTGAACAGTACATATAGCGTGAAACGCTTGTTTCTCGATACATGAGCGCCAACAAACAGCAGGAGGCGAAAAAAAAAACTGGGCTCACACGAGCGCACACCTGTTCGGTTCGAAGCCGCCAAACACGCCTCCATCCTCCGCGGCGGTCGTGGTCTCTTCGCCCGAAATGAGAATCGAAGCGACTTCTTCATCGGCGATGTCGGAAGACAAGAAGGAAGAGGAGGAGGAGGAGGAAGGGGAGAAGGAAGACAGGAGCTCGGTGAACAAGCTCGAGAGGAAGTCGCCGGCTTTCGCCACCATCGCTCGCAGCCCGAGTGGGAGATCGGACGAAGCCACAAGGTAGGACCACACCAGGAACGCCTCGCTTCCCAGGGAGACCTTCGCGCGAGGCGGCAGTCGACATCGGGGTAGAATGGGAGGGGGGGGGGGTGTACTCACAGTCGTGCATGCCTTAGCTGTTTACTACCACGTGTCCTCGAGACGGTCGGGGGGGGGGGGGGGGGGGG